TCCGAGCTACTCCCGAGGTCCATATATACGATCTGGTGTTATCAAATGTTATACTTGGGAAAAGTCAATTTTTTACGGCCTAAATTAAGCACTAAGAGCCTAAAGAAATATCTCAAAAAAAATATTACATCCAAGGAAATACCTGAGAGGACTTCTAAAAAGACTACCTAAAAAGACTTAGCAAGGCCACATAAGCGGTCAACTATTCTTGCATGTTATAATTATATTAACACCATGCAAAAGAGCTGTCGCAATAAGCATTTCTTCCTTATAGCAGTTGCGACGATTGTGTATCTCTAGTGGGTGAACCAGCCATACTCTCAACGTGTCGTGTGACCTGGTCGGCAAACTCCCCTTCGCCGTTGATTTGGCTGAACCTGAGACAAGATTGAGAACAGAGCTAAAGACCGCCTGGATCTAGATGGTCAATGACAATCCATGTAGTTTGGAGGGGAAAAACAATGCCTAGTCTAGATCGTTGGGACTGAGAACTTGACCGGGGCCCTTGGACTAGGGCTTGGCAAGAGCGAATATCACACTCCGTATGGGTATATAAAATCCAGATTTAATCTAAAAAAAACCCCCCAACATCTATAAACAGTGTAGTGCATCATCATGAATGATCAAGGCCGGTTCCGGATTGACACTCAAACCGCATTCGTTGGAATTTGCAGTTCCCCGGCTTTTTGTCCCATGACTTACGTCATCCATAAAAAGCGCCCCCGGGCCAGTTTGACTCTGAACTGCAGAGAGACAGAGAGAGAGAGAGAGAAAGAGCACAGACTATTCAAAGGGGGTTTTTTTCAAGAACAAAAAGAGAAAAAGTGATCCTAACTGTCAAGTTGCCATACTCCAACGGGGAGCCCCCGTTTCTCTCTTCAAACTTCCCCGCTCAAACAATGTCATCTCTGGCTTAGCTCTATCCACCATGACCTCGGATTCGAATCTGTGAGTCTGATGTAGCCTACTATCGGAAATAGCTCTAATATGGTCTTAGATGTCGCCCAACCGAGGCTCTCATCCTCCCGACCAAGCGACGCTTCTTCCCGTTCAAGATCCCCAACTTGTTCGTTGATCAACCCACTTATCTTCCTTATCTTCCGTGCGCAACCTAACCTAAGCTCTGTTTTAGTCACACACAGCTTCGCAACTACATTAGTACTGCTGATCCCGATCGCATTTATGTCGTCGTCGAGAGAATCGTGTATTCAATACACATATCGGCACAAAAGCGCGAAAGTGTAGCTGTGATCCCATTTGAGCCGCGCTGTCTGGTCGCTGGACATGGTTGGATCGTAGTGGGGGGCCCTGAAAATGGCGAATGTGCTTTCATTCACATCGGTGATTGTGGGATGCAAGTCCATGACGATGCGCCTTTCCAGGCCGATGTGGATAGTGCGCTCCCGCTCGATCTTGACCCACCGTCAATCATGACTTCGCCGGGCGATTTCAATGGCGAGTCTGCGTCAACCCGCTATCGAAGCAGCAGATTATCTCCCGAAGTAGAGCTGCACAGATTTGGTGGAAGCATTGTCAATTCAGTGGCCATTCACCGTTTCTATGGTGGCAGCGAGGAGTTGGCGGATGAAGATATCGTGGTTCTGAGGTACGCGCATGTCGGAAAATTGGTATACGCTGACCATGCTAACTCATATGAATAGCAATAACGATCGGACAGTCACGGTGTATTCTCTGACTCGCGCGAAAGTCTTGAAGGTCCTTCATCATCCGACTTGTATGAACTATGCGGCAGTTTCCCCGGATTCTAAACTGCTCACGGCCGTAGGGGATGAGAATCACGCCTACTTTTATGAAATAACTCGTGACTTGGAATCTTCTGGGACGACTGAATCTGGACAGAAGCTCACGGGGTGGGAATGGGAGCTTATCAATCGCCTGGAGATGAACATTGGCCTGCGGGCGGATGATGCGTGCTGCTTCACTGTCGCTTTTTCGCCATCCAGTCGCTTGTGCGCCATCGGATCCCAATCTGGAATAATTACGGTTATCGACGTCGAGTCCATCTACAGGAACGTTGACGACTCGGACGACGACTCCGCTATTCTTTGTCAATTCCCGACGTCAAGATCATGCGCCGAGGGTGGTGCGGTTCGTTGTATGATATTTTCGCCCGAGCCATGGGACCTTCTCGTATGGTTGGAGGGCCACGGCAGAGCCGGTGTGGCCGACGTTCGCCAACATTTTCTGCGCAGGCAAACCCTCCATTTAGATTCGAATGATCCGCAATTGCAGGAAGTGTACACGGACCTTTCAACAGAGAACTTCGAACGACAACCCGTGGGCGATGGTCTTTTGGAGACGACGCCACGAGCGCGACTCGACAACGAGGATTTCCCGACTGAACGGAACGGAGAGCAAACGGAGCGGTCGTCTCTGCGCGAGTCTTTGATTCAAGATCTTACCGAGAGAGAAAGGTTGATTATGGAGTTTTTGAACACGGCACGCTGGACATCGCGACTGGAAGAAGGACTTACTGAACGACCAGAGCGCCCAGCCAGGGCAAGCCTTCAACCTCAACCAGTGGCTCGACCGCAAAATCACGGTTCCACAGAAGGTGCCACTCGCACTCATCGTCCTACTTCGCCCCTGCATCGCTACGATTCTTCTGATGTCTCCCGAGATAGCCATCTGGGCCGCACTCTATCCAATCCAAGACGACAGAGCTCCGTGGTGGTATCTCAAGGGAGTCAGCCTTCGGAAGCCACGCCCTCTCATCATGATCGTCAATCGGACATCACCCTCAGTTATTCGACCTCGCATTCAGAGCTTACACCCCACAGGTCAGAAATTATCTCTCGGGCGGGTGCCGATCCTGAAGCGACCAACAACGAAACTAGCATATCAAATGAGCCGACTGGACCTTCTAATCCAAATCTAGACATCCATGGCCTGAACCACCGATCCCAGCAATCAAGCTCCATTCCCCGGCGCGTCGAACGACCACAAACCGGAGCGGAAAGAAGATATGATAACTCTCGCCTCACCACATATGAAATTCGTGCCAATGTTGCTGCTGAGAGGCTTCGGCATCAGCGCCAGATTGCTAATGAGGTACACAATCGCTCTTTCGAAAGGGAACAACGGCATCGCCAACAGCTTCTCGGATTTGAGCAGACACATTCTCCCCGCTGGATCAGGAACATAATCAATGATCTCCCTGATCGAAATTCAATGCATGGCCCCGGCGCTGAGGAGCCAGATTCCACTGCTGGAGTTGGCTGGGGCGCCGATGGACGCACATTGTGAGTGTATAATACAATCATTTTGCGGAATTAGACTAACATTTACAGGTACATCGCCACACTAGAGGGGATTTTTGAATTCCCACTGAACATTCATGATCGGAAAACATTCCCTACCTTCTCTTGCCGTTAACGTTCTATCCCTCGAGTTACGGGGAATTTTCTATCTAGTGTCATCCTGTCTCATTCTTTTTCTTAGTCATTTTCTTTTGCTTCTGGTCATGCAAATCCTACGAATGTCCGAAATCTCTCTGGACAAAGGACATACTGCTAAACAAGGATGGTATACAGTCTTGACTTTGCAAAAAAAAAAAGGACTCATTGGCCCATCCTTGTTATGACCCGTTCTTGTCGTGCTAACAAAGCCAATATTTTTCTCATTTGGAGTCGTTATCACATACCCTTCTGGCGCTTAGGGGCGTACATCATCTTATCTCGATTCCATTTGTCTTTTTATATGCTATATCCACAATTCTTTGTATGACTGATTGAAGTATAAAAAGTAAAGTTACATATTTTCTTTCTGCTAATACAATCTTGTCTGAATTGAAAAAAATGAAAAATAAAAAATAACCAGTAGACAAATATTAATTAAACAAGCAATGTCATAGCATGCCATGTTCGATGTCATGCGTGTTCTGCTCAACTCCATGTATAACATCGTGATATACTAGTTGTTGCTCTGGAAATTGATGGAAGAGAAGGTGATTCTATGTGTGTCTGCGGCAGCTACATGGTAACATCGCAGCCCAATTCAGAGGTGTCGAAATGAGAGAAATCGCACCCTTGTGATCCATCAAGGTGGTTGAGTAGACTTGTAATTCATGCGAACCCAGTATTTTGACGACATCTTTATACACAGCAATGTAAAGAGCTGTTTGAATTTAACGGCCTATCGATATGAGATATGATGACTTCGAGAACTATCTACGGTAGGTATGAACATACGTATGTCTTCTAGCAAGCCTAGCCTGGACTACTGCAATCACATATAAGAGGCTATATGCTCAATCACAATGCCTAAACAATGCCAAGTATGGAGATGGGGTACAATTAACGTCGATCGTTCGATAAAACGTCCTAAAGGACAATCTGCACATGCACTACTATGCCGTCCGTCTCAGATAGCCAGTGGTGTTTAATAATGTATCACCATGGGATCTCAGATTAGTATACTTATATATACACACACGAGAATAAAACATACATGCAACTTCCTAAATCTGGCTAGCATTGAAACTTGTTTTTCTCTATGACATTGGGCTACCCGTCACTTGGCCGTGATAAATTAGGGTTGTTTTGGTTGGCAAACTGCGGTCCAAGTGACGGGTAACCAAAGTCCAGACATCCACAAGTTCTGGTTATTTAAGATAAATGTAAATCAAAATCAGCGTATACAGATGTAGATGTATGGATTGTAGCCCTAGCATAACCCCACACCGACGTCATGGATACTGCCGGTCCATACCGCCCTTAGTGTCTTTCAGCGAAGTTTACCAAGCAGCCCTGTTGCTACAAATCTTGCCTGAAACCACTTCGAAACACTCCGCTAAACTTACTTGAAAGGTCGGTTCTATCCGTCCAACTTCTTTTTCTCACCTCAAGGACCAATTCCTTCCGATTTTCCGTCAGGACTTGAAATCGATACACTTATCGGTGTGGGGTTCGGCTACTGCCGAGTCAAACATCGACATAATTTCACTCGCCGGTTGACTCTCCGATACATTCCTTAACACCATGGCGGACTCGCTCGATTCCCCAATGAAGAAGTTAGACCTAGAAGGCGAACAGTTCGACCCCGCAGCCTTCGATGCTCGCCTCGCAGACGAAGAGAATGGAAAGATCGAGAACTTCCAACCTCGGAAGCAAGCTCCTCAGAGTGCCCAAGAGTTACTAACAGAGCTCGAAAATGAGTTTCTGACCCCATCAGACCAATTCAGCACGAAATGGTTGAATTCTCTTCAAAAGTAAGTACCAGTATTTTGTTTTCGTTTACGGGGCAGCTTTTAACAGCTTTCGCAGACGATGGGACGTTTCGACAGACTATGCAGACCTTTTCGAACTCGCCCCAACCCAGACGCGGACGGTGACTCGGTTCACACGAGAGGGACTGGAAGGACGAGTTACTGGATACCAGGAAGTCACGGTTCCTGCTGCAAGCGCAACAGCCAAGAATTCCACATCGCTTCTCCGCCGACCTGCTGGTCGTGCCGACTTTGTCAGAGGTGCTGCAGGTTTCTTCCCGTTCGCTCCCGGAGGTTTGGACGCTATTGAGGCCCTGGCAGCAATGGAGGCCGATGCTCAGGTCACAGACCAATCGAGCAACGGGAAGCAATCTGGGCTCGATCGCATAATCAACTTTGGCACCGAGGGAGGTCTTCTGACAACACCCCCTGGCTTTGACAACGGTATCGATTTCGATGAAGCCAAATCCAAAGCCGCCACCGAGGGTGCGCAAGAAGTTGAAACTGCCCTTCTTCAAGAGGAGAGCGATTTGAAAGTGGACCAACCCGAGGAAACTGCGGATGTCGATACAGGAGCAAATCCCGAGCTTGATGATGTCAGCGACGACGAAGATGAAGAAGACATTGACGCTTTGCTACCAGTTGAGTTCCCAGCATTGGAACCGCGTAGCCAGTTGCTCGCCGGTGTTCACAAGCAGAAAGGTAGAGAATGGGCCCACGTTGTGGATGTCAACAAGGATATCCCGAACTTCAATGAGTTGGTTCCAGATATGGCCAGAGAGTGGCCTTTCGAGCTCGACACGTTCCAGAAGGAGGCTGTTTACCACCTTGAGAATGGCGATTCGGTGTTTGTTGCGGCCCATACCTCGGCAGGAAAGACAGTCGTGGCCGAATATGCAATCGCCTTGGCTGCTAAACACATGACCAAAGCGATTTACACGTCTCCCATAAAAGCGCTGAGTAACCAGAAATACCGTGATTTCAGAACCGAATTCGACGATGTCGGTATCCTGACCGGTGATGTTCAAATCAATCCGGAAGCCAGCTGTCTCATTATGACCACTGAGATCTTGCGAAGTATGCTGTACCGAGGCGCTGATCTCATCCGCGACGTTGAATTTGTCATTTTCGACGAGGTACATTATGTGAACGATCTTGAACGAGGAGTGGTATGGGAAGAAGTCATCATTATGCTTCCAGAGCATGTCACATTGATTCTTCTATCCGCCACTGTGCCCAATACCCGAGAATTTGCATCCTGGGTCGGTCGTACAAAGAAGAAGGACATTTATGTCATTTCAACTCATAAACGACCTGTCCCCCTGGAGCACTATCTCTGGGCCGGGAAGAGCAAGCACAAGATCGTCGACTCGAACAAAAGATTCCTCGAGAGCGGCTGGAAGGAAGCAGATGATATTCTATCCGGCAAAGATAAGGCCAAAGCCAAGAAGGAGGCTGAAGCTCAGGCGCAGTCGGCGCAAGCTAGAGCACCCGTCCCTCAGGGCCGGGGACGCGGCCAGCCAGCGAATAACAGAGGTGGTCGCGGGGGCCCACAGCGCGGCGGTCCACAGCGTGGAGGTCCGCAACGAGGTCGAGGACAGAGCGGCGGACAGTACGCCAACCGAGGAACAGGCAACATTGCTCGCACAGGCCGTGGCGGTGGTCGTACAAGTGCGGCACAAGACAAAAACACCTGGGTGCATCTTGTTTCGCATCTTCGCCAAGAAGACTTGCTGCCGGGATGTGTTTTCGTCTTTTCTAAGAAGCGATGCGAGGAGAACGCGGATTCGCTGTCAAATCAAGACTTCAGCAATGCCAGCGAGAAGAGTTTGACACACATGTTCATTGAGAAGTCACTCACCCGATTGAAGCCTGAGGACCGCACGCTACCGCAAATTCTTCGCCTGCGCGAGCTACTAAGCAGAGGCATCGCTGTACACCATGGCGGTCTCCTGCCCATCATGAAGGAAGTTGTTGAGATTCTCTTCGCTAGATCTCTGGTCAAGGTTCTGTTCGCCACAGAAACATTCGCGATGGGTCTGAATCTTCCCACCCGAACTGTGGTATTCTCCGGGTTCCGTAAGCACGATGGCAAAAACTTCCGTGATCTCCTGCCCGGCGAGTATACGCAAATGGCCGGACGGGCTGGTCGTAGAGGTCTTGACACGGTAGGATACGTTATCGTGACGAACAGCGGAAAAGATGAGGCCCCATCTGCTGCCTCGCTGAAACAGATGATTCTTGGAGACCCCACAAAGCTTAGGTCTCAATTCCGTCTCACATACAATATGATACTGAATCTGTTGCGCGTGGAAGCCCTGAAGATTGAGGAAATGATCAAGCGGAGTTTCAGTGAAAATGCAACACAAGCTCTCTTACCGGAACACGAGAAGCAAGTGCAGGTGTCTGAGGCAAGTCTTGCGAAAATCAAACGGACACCATGTGAGATCTGTGACCTGGATTTGATGACCTGTCATGACGCCGCTATGGAGTATCGAAAACTCACAGCTGAGTTCCACACCGAACTGCTATCATCGCCTGTCGGCAAACGTCTTTTCACAATGAAGAGGTTGGTTGTGTACCGCAAGGTGAGTTCACATGTTCCATTGTGATAATATGTGTTCGGTAAAATGCTAACGTGGAAAATAGGATGGTCTCCGTACTGCTGGTGTTATTACTCGCGATGGAGTTTCCGCGGGAGTTGTCGGGGCCGTACCCTGTGTCCAAGTGCTCGAGATCGGAACCTTGAGTAGCAAACGACACCCCACCGATATTCTTCCATTCTTGCCTCTGTTCCGACCCTACTTCCAATCACTCCCCACTCGCGTTGATGACATGAGCCTCCGCGTATGCAAGATCCCATTATCCGATCTCGAGTGTGTGACAAACACCCAGGTTAAGATCACAAAACCAATGTGGTATCTGAACATCAAAAAAGGTAAGAGGATATTTGCTTCTTTTTGTGTATTTGGTTATCAAAAATGACTAATTGAGAAACAGAATCCGTCAAATGGGCAGAAACAGAACTGTGCCAATTCACCAACTCTTGGATTGATACTGCCTGGGACGAAATTGACTGGCAGCGTATCAAAGAGATGGATATCCGCGATATTCTCGACAAACGACAGGTTCAGGCAGAGATTGCTCAGTCATGCCACTGTCTACAATGCCCTGATTTCGTAAACCACGTGAGTATTTTATTTCTATTATCTTAACCCTGTACTAATTTCTAATAGTTTGAGATGCAACACGACGAGTGGCAAGTTAAAGAAAATATCTCGGAGCTGAAGCAACTGATGTCCGACCAAAACCTTCAACTCCTTCCGGATTACGAGCAGCGCATTCACGTACTAAGGGAGCTCGGCTTTGTTGACGAGCACTCTCGTGTACAACTGAAGGGCAAGGTGGCATGCGAGATTCACTCCGCCGACGAGCTCGTGCTGACCGAATTGGTCCTCGAGAACGTTCTTGCTGAATATGAACCGGAGGAGATTGTTGCACTCCTCTCTGCATTTGTTTTCCAGGAGAAGACAGAAAGCACACCCACCCTCACTCCTCGTCTGGAGAAGGGCCAGAAGGAGATCATTCGTATCGCCGAGAAAGTGAATGATTTCCAGATCTTGCACCAAGTTATTCAGTCTAGTGAAGATTCCAACGACTTCGCCAGCAAGCCACGCTTTGGTCTCGCCGAAGTTGTTTATGAATGGGCTAAGGGAATGTCTTTCAATCGCATTACGGACCTCACGGACGTGATGGAGGGTACTATTGTTCGGGTGATCACCCGGCTGGACGAGACTTGTCGCGAAGTGAAGAATGCGGCTAAACTGGTCGGTGACCCAACTCTTTACACTAAGATGCAGCAAGCTCAGGAGTTGATCAAGCGCGATGTCATCTTTGCGGCCTCTCTTTACATGTGAAGATACTCAATCCTTAGGGGTATGGTTTAATACCTGGGCCCCTATTGGGTAGTCATGAACCTCTCCACTAGATGGAGGATTCACCATGTATGTAAATCAAGACGAAGAAATGAACTTGAAACTATCAAATTTCTATTAAAATCAATATTCATCCATAATCTTTTATAGAACGCAATAAATCAACAAGTCCATAGTCCATAGTTCCTAGAAAATCCGTGTGTGCGGCCTCTGATTAGCTGCGGGGCGACCGCCTCCCGAGAAGTCGGAAAATCGAAAAAAATCCCCCTCCTCTTTGAAGAACACACCTTTTCTCCCCTTCTCTTCAAGATCCACACGATCTCTTTAGGACATTCACGTCCTTTCAATCATTGACTCTTTCGCCTCGCCCCTCTTCCATCGGCGCTGGTCCGCGTCTCCCACGGGGTTCTCAGTTTATTTGGAGATTTTTTGACTTTCTGGTGTTTGGGGGATTGTTGCGCGATGGATGTCACAGCCCTCCGAGACCGCATTCAGTCTACTCTAGATGCGAATGCGGATATTCGCCGACAAGCGGAGCTTGATTTGAAATATGTACGTGCTGAATCGACTGGCGGGGCACCGAACGTCAGGCTCACACGTGGTTGATATATCTAGGCCGAGACGCAACCCGGATTTATCAATGGACTTTTGGATATCCTGCAGGGCGAGCAGAATAATGCAGTCCAGCTCTCTGGTAAGTTTTGCGGTGTCCGTATTAGATTGCGAAAGACCTTTTGTCACTTACTAACCCCGCTCTTTCTTATAGCTGGTGTTTACCTGAAGAACCGTATTACCCGTGGATGGGCCCCCGTGGAAGATAGTCCCCAGCGTACGCCAATTCCCGAAGCCGAGAAGCCTGCTTTCAGGGAGCGACTTATCCCTGCCCTGGCCTCGACACCTCCCAATGTCCGCAATCAACTGGTTCCTCTCCTCCAGAAGATTCTCCAAAACGACTTCCCCGAGCAGTGGCCCGGATTTTTGGATCTTACTTTGCAGCTTCTCAGCACCAATGACGCAAGTACGGTCTATGCGGGTCTGCAGTGCCTTTTGGCAGTCTGCCGAGTCTACAGGTTCAAGGCCGGCGAGAAGAGAGGAGGAGTTCGATAAGATCGTGGAGCATTCATTCCCCCAGCTGCTCAGCATCGGATCGAAGCTCGTTGATGAGGAAAGTCTGGAGGCTGCGGAGATGCTCCGTATTGTGGTGAAGGCTTTCAAGCATGCAATTTACGTCTGTTATCCCGATTCTAGTCTGCGCGTGGCTAGGCCATTTATACTTACTTGTTGCGAATTTAGTTCGAGCTTTCTCCATGCCTTCAAACCCACCAGGCAACTGTGGACTGGTGTACACTATTCCTGCGCATTGTCTCGAAGACACCCCCTGCGAACTCAATGGCAGATACGAAGGAGGAGAGGGAGATGAACCACTGGTGGAAGTGCAAGAAGTGGTCATACGCCAACCTGAACCGCCTATTCATCAGATATGGCAACCCCACCACGATCACGAAATCCTCCACCCCCGACTACACACCGTACGCGAAGACCTTTATCAGCACTTTCGCCCCCGAAATTCTTAAGGGATACTTGACGGAGATTGACAAGTGGGTCTCCAAGACGCAATGGCTCAGCAACTCCGCACTCTCATATACTTTGGTCTTCATGGAGGAGTGCGTCAAGCCAAAGGCCATGTGGGACCACTTGAAGCCCCACATGGACAACCTGATCGCCCACTTCGTCTTCCCTATCTTGTGCCAGTCTGACGAGGATATTGAGCTTTTCGAAGACGATCCATCTGAGTATCTCCACCGCAAGTTGAACTTCTACGAGGAAGTGTCCGCTCCGGATGTTGCCGCCACAAACTTCTTGGTTTCCCTCACCAAGAACCGCAAGAAGCAGACCTTCTCGATTCTCACATTCGTGAATAGTGTTGTTAGCAAGTATGAGTCTGATCCGGAAGAGCAGAAGCAGCCCAGGGAGAAAGAGGGCGCTTTGAGAATGATTGGCTCCCTTGCTTCCGTCATCCTGGGCAAGAAGAGCCCGATTGCTGACCAGGTCGAATATTTCTTCGTCCGTCATGTTTTCCCCGAATTCCGCAGTCCTCACGGCTTCCTCCGTGCTCGTGCTTGCGACACCCTGGAGAAGTTCGAGCAGCTTGACTTCAAGGACCCGAACAACCTCATGGTTATCTACCGAAACATCCTCGAGTCCATGACCGATTCCGAACTTCCCGTGCGGGTTGAGGCCGCCCTTGCTCTGCAGCCCCTTATCCGTCACGATGTCATCCGTACATCGATGCAGCAGAACATCCCCCAAATTATGCAACAGCTTCTCAAGTTGGCCAATGAGGTCGACGTGGATGCTCTGGCCAACGTCATGGAGGACTTTGTTGAGGTCTTCTCTGCCGAGCTTACTCCATTCGCTGTGGCACTGAGCGAGCAGCTCCGCGATACTTACATGCGTATTGTTGGTGAGCTCCTGGAGCGCAACGCCTCCAAGGGTGGTGACGAAGATGGATACGGCGATTTCTTGGACGACAAGAGCATCACCGCTCTGGGCGTGTTGCAGACCATCGGTACCCTTATTCTCACACTTGAGAGCACCCCCGACGTGCTTCTGCACCTCGAGACCATCTTGATGCCCGTCATCAGCATCACCTTGGAGAACAAGCTCTATGGTAAGTTTTTTTTAACTCTATCAACCGTATTTCCAGCTCTAATCAGTCATTTTAGATCTCTACAACGAAATCTTCGAGATCATTGACAGCTGCACATTCGCATCCAAGACCATTTCCCCATCCATGTGGCAAGCTTTCGAGCTGATTCACAAGACC